TGAAAAAAATCTATACAAAATATTATAAAGGATGCCAATAAATAGATACGTACTTTTAGTCATCCAGTATCGATGCAATATTTATATATAGATACTTTAAACTTTACTAGTAGTAATGTTCTCTCGACAATTCTCCAAAGGCGGTTTTCGTGTCATGCCACCTTTCTTTTTTGGCCAACTTCATAGGCGCCTTCCTAAAATCAGACAAGACAAATTAAAGAAAATCAGTGTGATAAAAAAGACAAGGTATCGTATCCACATTAAATAGGATGGCTTGCACCAAGTGAGACCAAGCTCTTGACATATGGTATCGCATCAAAATAGAGGGGCCAAAAGCCAAAGCCAACCCCATGGGCTATTGCAATCTTCCTAATTGACACATCTTTCAAATTGTAAAAGAAAAAAACTCTATTGTATCGTTTATATATATATATATATATATAACAGCAAAAGCAAATTTTTATTACTTGAATTATAGGGTTACTCAAACCCATTTCGCAATTCACAACAACAAGAAACCATCACCAGCTCAAACACACCCAAAGGCAACACAACCACATTCACCAACCTAGAAAATGGATCAAATCAAATATCTCCTCTCACAATGTCACAAAAACAGCCAGTGCTAACTCAAACATTTAAGCAAGATTTTGGATCAATCAACCAATCCCAGTCCTATTTTTAATCCATAAAAGGACCTAACTTGTATGAGATCAAACAATCTGTTTGCGTCGATGATCTTATTCATAGAACAGCATCATTTTGTGCAAGCCAAATTGACCATACAATTGCGTCGACGATCTGTTGTATTTTTGTTGTTTTGTGCTATTTTAATTGATGTATTCATCTATTAAAACATTTCTTTTTTGATTGGCAAACAAATAATGTTTTTATTAATAGGGAACACAACAACCCTTGAAATCAAATACTACATATATAGACCTATCAATAATAGAGAAACATCCCCTTATATCTTATACAATTAAAAGATTTTCCAAACTTAATGAATTAACATTGTAATGAGGCCTATGGGTTTCTACACCAACTGTTAAGTGATAAATAAGGCTGCTTGGATATTCTTAACCAATAAAAGGATCTCATATTAATCAATTCTGTGATATCCTCTATGCTGCTAGTTTCATTTTTTAACAAAACCTAATTTCTCCATAGCCATATGGACCACAATGCAATAAACTGAACCATGCGCCATGCTTCCTACAAGCTATTAGTTATAAAAGGTCAAGTGCGTTGCAAGAAGTGGTCGTTGTCTACATGATGTGCAATTGTTTTGCTCCCTCGCCAATTTAACATTCTGTTCAAATTTTCCTAGCATTAATGCAAGAAAATAGAACATGGTTTGTATCTTCCACGTATTCATGGCAAAATATTCAAAGTTGTCACAGTTATCTCTAAGGATGCCTCTTCTATATAAGTTTAATTGGCCTTGTTGAAATTCTATCTTGAGAGGTTTTTCAAGCAAAGGCATAGACCTTCAAGGGACATCTTTGTTCCATAATAAGTTGTATAAGAATTTTTTCTGATGGTGTTGCTAATTTCCTTTGTTGTCCTTTGTTGTCCCATTTCCATCTCTAAGAATAATCATGTCCATGCTTCAATTACACCAGTTCTAATTAAGAGCAAAAGTACTGCAAAACAATCAATTCCTATATGTTCTTTTCGAATTTTCCTTTTTCTGTAATGTCACATGGGGTATACACAGTCAAAAAAGAGAAAAAAAAAAAAAAGGCATTAATTCCTTCCCTCAAAAACTAAATGCACCACAAAAGCCATGCCCAAGTACTTTTTTTTCAGAAACAAATTTGTCCATAGGATAAAGGCAAAGCCAGCTTCCTAATCTACCTAATGACTGCTTTGAGACCCTTTCATAGTCATCTAATCCCTTAATTGAATAGCATATTCTTTTATCACATGCTTCTAATTCGTTTCTTGAATCATCACTAGGTTAATTTTTT